CTTTCCCCTGACATCAGTGATGTCAGTCTCAGGGGTGGAATACAAATTCCCTACCCTGGAGAGGGACGCACAATCCAGACGAGAGCCACGCCCTCTTTCTATCTCCTTCCTCCCTGACTCCCTTCTCGCCCCCAGAAGAGCAGCTGGTCCCGTTGATAAGAACCCCTCCCCCATCTTACTCCCCAGTCACGAGTTGGGCAAGGCACTAAGATGGAGAATTTATAGACGAGCCCTAAGGTGGGGTTCATTGTTCCGGGGGCTGGAGCTGTCCCCGGTGCTGGAAGAGAAGACCCCCCCCCCCATGAGAGGGGACGGGGTGGGGGGGGGAGAAGAGGGGAGTCGGCATCTGGGGAGACCGAGACTGGGGAGTCAATGAAAGAACCCAGGGGAAAGAAAATAGCATAAGAACAGTTGGTCAGGTGGGGGGTGTGGGTAGAGGGACGTGTAACTGGGGAGGGAAGCAGGTCACTGAGCCCGGGGTGAGGGGGGAAGGGCAGAAGGGACCCAGAGAAGAGAGAGAGAAAGGGGGCTGGCAAGGGGAGAGCCGAAAGAGATGAATCCAGAGAGCGGACTGTATATTTTCCAGAATGGGAACCAAGAAAAACTACATCTTGCTGGCATTTGCCGACGCCCCCTTCTCCCCCTCGAGGGGGTTTGTGTGTACAAGTGCGTGGGCAGGGAGGCGGTGGTGATGGTGGGGGCTCTCACCGAAGACCAGGACAACGTTTAATTCAGCATTTTACTGTTCACGGTGTCTAGCACAGTGTCTTGATCATACGTAGTAGGTGCTTAACAGATATTTCTCAAAAAAACATGATTGATGCAAAGAGCCTCCTACAGAGTCGAGTCTCGAGTCCTTCCGTGGGAAGAACTGTAGCTGTCACGCTCTCTTTTAGGGCAAAGGAAGCCCAACGACCTCTTTCTTTTCTCCCCGTTGTCCCCCTTTCCCCTTAGGTTCCTTGAGAGGGACTCTCTAATTGAGTCAGGTAGTGAAGAGGGGTGGGAGACACACCTTTGGGGGCCATTATTCCCCTGTACAATGATATTAGGGATGATCAGTTTGCTTCATAATCTTGAGGGAGCTTGGCCCCCCCCATGCACTGAGCCCACTCATGCCCGTCAATTCAGGGAGTACCTGCTGACGCCAAACCTCCTGAACGGGCAGGAGGTGTGCCTGACATCAGATGCCCCCCAACAGGGATTTGAAATCTTCTGTGGAACACGCTGCCTCTGTCATTCCCTGCTTCACCCCAGAGTGGGACTGACATCTCCACAGGGGTGCAGGTGTGTCTGAAAAATGTCCCAACCGAATCCCAGCAGCCTGGTCCTCGGCTGTCATGGCAAGCGAGCTCCTCTCCTGGAAGTCACAGTAATGGCACTTAGTACTTACTGTGCCCTGGGCATCGATCCAACTGCTATATATTTACTAACTTGTTTAAAGCTCAGCACCATCCTATGGTGTAGGTTCAATTAGTATCTCTAAATAAAGATGGGAAATCAAGGCCCAAGGAGTAAATGACTTGCTTAAGTTCATGAAGCTAGAAAGAGATGGAGCTGGCGGTGCAGCCTGGCCCCTGAGCCCACGCCTCACATCAAAAGCTCCTAGTGGGCGTGGGGAGAGTGACTAAGCCTGGCCTTTGTTCTTCCTGTGACTTCATTTGAGCCCTGAATGAGAGATGTCCTTCTTTCCAGGGTCCTCCTTTCCACTGCTTGACTCACTCTGACCACTTCCCATTCTTCCTTAGTGTGTGGTGTCTACAGCCTGAAGCTGCATTCTGATAGGCGCGTGTATTTGAGTGTGTGTCTGTGTCGACATGATTATACTTCATTGTATGGACACCCAGTTCCTCCCAGTAGGGTCCCCTAAGGTTGGGGTGGGGGGAGAGGGGAGAGGGCACAGTGCTGGCTGGTCAGAGCCTGTGATGACCAGGGAATGGAGAGTGCAAACACATCTGGAAAGTAACTTTCCACTCACCTCCTTCACCCCCAGTGCATTTTTTCTTGCCTCTAATCTGATCTTGGTATTCATGGAGATGATAAACAGATCACGCCCTCTGAGGACGGAGGCGAGGAAGACCCCTCTGCCCTTCTGATCTCATTACTCTGTGTCTTGTCAGCAGATCTGCCGCCCTGCTGCTCATTTAGGCTTGGGGCTAATCACATTAATTGAAATATTAAACATTCACTGAAATGAATTATAATGAACTCCCCTCCTTCCTCCTCCCAGTCGGCAATTGGGGAGTCAGCTGCCGGCAGCATAATGCCTCCAATCCTTCTCTTAGTTTGTGGTCAGGTGGAAGATTTCAATCTGAGAAGAGAGGCAGGGTTTAGGGGAGAAGAGGGGGGCACCCTCATCAGGTCCTCTTTGCTGGAGGACTGTGCGCACATTTCTGTTTTCCTTGAGGCCGTGAGGGAGGGGAGCCCTGTGAGGTGAAGAGTGGGGGAAGCCCCCAGTGACTCAGAGGCTCATTCTGGGGAGCTGCTCTCCAGGAGGAAGTGAGGCTTCAAAGCCCCAGATCCCCCAGGTGTTTTCTCTGTGCACTGTCTTCAAGCTCAGCCTCTTTCTTTTTCCTCTGCACACAGCGCTAAGCTGCCCTACAAAAAAAATATTATTAAAAAATTTGAATTTATTTGGGTGACATTGGTTCACAAAAAACATTATTGATTTTATAAAGGGAGAACTCACTCCTTATATTAGATTCTTAGAAAATGAAAAATGCTGAATAATTAGGATATTTTTCAGAAAGGGCATAATGTAGTGGTGGCGTGTGTGGGCAGAGGGGCAGTCACTGAATACTTGCTGTCCTCACTAACTGAAAACAGAGGGAAGACATCTGCTGCAGAGAATACAAGGAATTGGTAATATAAATTTCTTTCCCTCAAATGCAAAGGTAGACAGGAGGCCAACACTGCGCAGAGGTGAGGACTGAGATGTTGTGAGAAAGTAGAAGTAGCCTCTCTCACTTACACACACAGGAATTTGGGATTTGGGCAATGGGAAGTGACCAGTCAAGGAAGGCTTGAGTGATTTTCAAAGCACCAGAAGATCATAGACCAGCAGAAGGGGCATGTTAATTATTTTTTGTATGGAGGTGGGGGATGGAGAGAATGGTGTAGGGGTAGATTGGCCAGGCCGGCCCAGCACTGTCTAGTATAATGTAAGCCATATATGTAATTAAAATTTTTGACCCTGGCTGGTGTAGCTCAGTGGATTGAGCGTGGGCCTGCGAACCAAACAACCTCGGTTCAATTCCCAGTCAGAGCACATGCCTGGGTTGCAGGCCAGTTCCCAGCAGGGGACATACGAGATGCAACCGTACACTGATATTTCTCTCCCTATCTCTTTCCCATGCCCTCTAAAGATAAATAACTAAAAACTTAACATTTTTTTCTAGTAGCCACATTAAAAAAATAAGAAGAAACAAGTAAAATTACTTTTAATAATATATTTTATTTAACTGATATATCCAAAATATTACTCAACATGTTTCGATGACACATCTCAGAGGTACAACATGTAATCAATATGAATATTATGAACGAGGCCCATTACAGTGTTTTTTTGTACTGGGTCTTCAAATCTAGTGTGTATGTTGCACTCACAGCACCTCTGACACTTACAGCAACATTTCAGGTGTTCAGTAAGCACAAGTGGCTCTCGGCGACTACACTCACTGGACAGTGCAGCTCTAGAGCTCCTACCACTAACTTCTCTGGGGAACAGAGTGGGGAGAGACAGGTCTTGGCCAACAGGAACTGTCACCTCTGATTAGTCTCTACTCCTGCCTGGAAAAAAAAAATCACTTCTGACAGATGGCAGCTTATCTACCTCTCACTCTATTAACTCTCTCTCTTAAAAACCACAAACAACCAAAACGATTACTAACCTGGTTGGGGTTCTTGGGAAGAGGCCTGCAGCCCACTACTTAATCTGCCTCTTCCGGGTTTTTCCTGGCTTGGGAACTGCCAACATTTTTACTTGTTTTCCTCAGTCATTGCTGAGAAGGATAGAGGCAACGTTGAGAGGCCCCTCCAAGGCCATGGCCAAATGTGGTGCCTCTTTCTCAGGCTTTTTCCTTGCTCTGTGGGCAGTCGTTCACAGATCTGAAAAGGCAGCCTTCCTTTTCAGTTCTCTTAGCAGGCTGGCTGGCTGGTTGCTGGCTGGCAGAAGACCTCTGCTGGGCATGATCTGGGGGTGTGGAAACTCAGTGTGTGCACACAGGAGATGACAGGCTCCTGCCCATTCCAGGCCTCTATTATTTCAGCTCTCTGGCTTTATCTTTCTCTTCCCTTCCTAAATAGATACTAGAAGAACACATCTTGAAGCCCGACTGCCTTTCCCAGTTCCGACCAAATTGGGAATGGGGGGAATAATTTAGAATTTATGAGGATCAGGTTAATCTACACACGAAAGTCAAAAGAGGGGAAATGGTTAATTTACACAAGAGGGGAAACTTCTGGCAGGATGTTCCCCCAGGTCTTTTCTAGCATTTTTACTCCGAGGAGTAAAAGGGGACCGTTTATTCCTTTGCAGAAATCAGTTCACTCCATCCTGTGGGGCGCTTTCATGGTGCTTTAATAATCCTACAGTTCGGTGTCAAGGGTCTAGAAGACAGAGGAAGGGTTTGGCTTCTGGGTGGGCAGTACGAGAAGAAGCCTGGATCCTCTTTCCCTACTACGAGCCTTCATTCAGCTTTGCCCGAGAGAGTCAGGAACCAGATTCTGGGAGACTCTGCTTTAGGAATTCCTTTCCAGTTTTGCTCTAGAGCTAAGAAAAAAAACTATTTGAGGTTGGGTGGAGTCAAGAAGAAGGGCTCATTGCATATACAGTCAAGCCGGGAAATCAGGCACCAAATCCGGGGAAAACCTAACCCTCCACAGCTCACTCCTCAGCTTCAGAGCCGCCCCGCACTGCTATGCTCAGCCCTCTCTGGGCTGAGGGAGAGGTCCGGGTTTGGGGGCGGGGCCAGGAAGGGGGCGGGGCCTCACCGGCGCGGCCCGTCACCTTGACGACCGCAACAAGATGGCGATGCAGCCAGGCGGGCTGCTGGCCCCTGACCCCGGGGCGCTGAGCCCTGCGCAGTTGGAACAGCTGCGCAACTTCAAGGTGGGTGCACCCCCGCCCTCGCTTCTACCTAAGTGCCGCGCTCCCAGGATAAGGGCTCAGACAGGGAGGAGGACCCCGAGAGGGGAGCCTGTTCAGATAAAGGGGCGGAAGGCTGAGGGGAGAACCCCGGCGAATCCCTTGAAGTGCAGGAAAAACTAAAACAGGGATCTGCACAAAGAAATGGACCGAAATCACAAACCAGGACTTCCTTCCCGACGATGGAGACCCGACCTTAGTTAAGGCTGCTCAGCCTGCGTAGGAAGCAGCAAGGAGATGGATGTTGATTTCTAAGAAGGCAGGGCTTACATTTTCAAACATCCAGCGAAAAGACCCGGGTAAGGCGCACGTAACTTCCCCAGCCCTTCACATCTCTAGGGCTTGAACCCTGAAATCTGCCTCCTGATGGAGCGTGACACCTTGCTCTTGTCCCCAGATTGAGATTCGGATTGCTAACGAAAAGTATCTCAGGACCCATGAAGAAGTGGAGTTGCTTCTAAGTGGTTTTTTCAGGTGGGTAATATTCCAGACTGGCCTTGAGCAGCTAGCTAGTGGACAAGTTTACCAAAGCAGGGGATAGATGAATGTGAGTGACTTTTTTCTTTTCGCTCTCCCTATTGCTTCCTGTAGGGTCTGAAAGTTAAGAAATACCCTAAGGTTTGACTTTTCCAGCTCTGGGATTTGTGCCACCCAGGGGTTTCTTGAGTTACCTGTAGAGGTTTCCTTCAGTTATCTCTTAAATTTTCAAAAGTACTAATATTCATTCATGGTAGTTGTAAGGAAACCTGTGTACCTTATGACACTTGGAATAAGGAATTGGCATTGAGAAACTCAAAAGGCAGCCATTGGGTATAAAACATTCTCCATCAGAGAAGCTTAACAGGATCACTGTTCAGATATCTGGCCCTTCCCTACTTGAGAACATAGTTGTAGAAAGACTCCAGGAGTTGGGAGTCACTCTTCTGTAAGTCTTGGAGAAAAGACCATTTTCCTGGGTCTCCTGGAGCACATTCTTTCCCATCCCTCATGCTGCCTTTAGTATGGCATGTGTTTGAATAGAAAAGTCTCATGGCATAAAAGACAAAGAATTGAGGAGGAAAACATCATGGAGCAGCAATGGGTGAAAGTAATAGAGCTCTCTCAAGTACTGTTTGGCTATAGACACATAGGCAAGTTTTAAATCGTAATGATGGCTTTCGTGTGCAGGCACCATGTTGGTTTCCTTCACCAGAAGTTATCACACAGTATTGTAATTGCATTGTCCATCTTCTGTTTCTCTGCCTGGACCAAAGCTCTAAGCTGGTGGAACCACATTTGTGTCCCCAGTGCCCACACAGTGATGGCATCTTGGTGCACTTCTGCTGACCCTCCCAGTGACTGTACAAAAGATAGTGTATTATCACTTCCATTTTACAGGCTTTTAATTTAAGGTCTGAGAGGTGAAGTACCTCCTTCGAGTTGCTGAACCAGCACCCAAACTCCTGTTTTTTTCACTGTGTTTTCTTGTAAAAACATGGAGCTGGGAAGCCAGAGATGGGGCTCGCCTCTTCTCAAAAGCAGAGCTGAAGAGGTGTCTTTTTTTTTCCTCAGGCCTCTTCGTTTTTCCTGGATTTCACTATTCTTTAAATTGTAGCTATTTCTCCAAGTGGCAGTAGATTTCTCAGAGGGCTGGAGGGGAGAGAGAAAGGGAAAACTGAAACCTGTTTGTGAAGGTTGGTTTTATTTGGGCCACTGGTAAAGCCTGGGCAAAAGGTAGGTTGGCGGGTCCTCTGCCAATGTCAGCCCTGGGGATCAGGCCGTCAGTTTTTGCATCTTTTCTTCTAAAGGGAAATAAGGATGACATCCTTCCTATCCTGGGGAGCTTGTAATCCAAACTAGGAATGATTCTAGCAGGGAGCTTGGAGATAGAGGTTAAAAGCCCGAATTAAATCATCATTTATGTTGTCTACAAAAGGATTAAAGTCCTGGGGGGTGGTGAAGAGGATGTTTTTTCAGTCACATGTCAGGGATGGCCCTACTTCTGTTCCAGAAACAGTTTCCAGAAGCTGGACATCTGCGCCTGGCTGCAGAGGGCCAGCCCTAGGCATCTTCCTTTTCCTTCCTTACCATTCCCCTTCCCCAGGACAGCAGGCTTTTCCTTTGCTGGCTCCGAAGCTCCCCTACCTAAAATCTTCCTGGCCGCTTTTACCTGCTTCTCTTTCTGGGATGGAGGTGGGAGAGGAAGTGTTTAAAGTTTAATTTGCTCTTGTTTGTTTGATGTTAGTGTTACTTCCTTTGGGTGGTGCCGGGATGAACCAGAATCAGCCCCTCATCTGTACTGGATACTTCAGATTGTCGTTCCAGTGAAAAAAAGGGAGGGAGAAGAGGGGACAGAATCCTGGGCAGCACACCTGTCCTCACCTGTTGTGCAGGTAGCTCTGCTGTAGGCTCACTTCAAGCCACCAGAGACTCTGAACTGTTTTTGTTGGGAAGCAAGCTCCCCACTTGGGTTTTCTGATCCTAGTGATTTATGGCCACTCAGCCACAGCCCTCCAGCCTGTACTAATACAGTGTACAGAACTTGTAATGCCTTGAATTTTGAGTCTACAAAATGGCAAGCGGAGGGATCTTACTTACTTTAGGCACCCAGATAGTTCAGATTTTAGGCTGGAGATATGATAGCAAAGGAGTGAAATTTTAGAAAGGTTTTATTAAATCTTTTTGTAAATACACAGGCAGATGAATCTTCCCCCATACGGCACTGATCATAGCATTCCTTGGCTAGAAAAATCTTCAGTGGATGGATCTACACCATTGCTTTTCCTTTTTAAAACATTTTGTTGAAATACAAAGTACAGAAAAGTGGCACATCCTAAACTGGATGAACTTCCACAAGTGAGAACACACGTGGCACTAACAGCCAGAGCAAGGAATAGAACCTGACTAGCACCCCAGGCAGGCCCTTTGCGGCCCCTCCTAGTAAAAATTTATCTGGTTTTTTACTTGTTGAGAAACAAGCCCCACAAAAGGCGGCCAGCACCCAGACTTCTAGTAGCACAGCTCTGTTTTGCCTTGATATAAATGGATTTCTGCAGTCTGCACGCTCTTGTGTCTGGCTTCTTTTGCCCAACAGCATCTGGTAGATCCCCATTCTCTCTTCAGCGCTGTACTCAGCTGTGCGCCTATGCCAGACCGTATGCATTGCCTTTGTCTTTTGAATTGGGTATAAATGTCTCTTCTCGGCCTTCATGGCACCCACAATAGAGCCTCCTTCACATGATGCTACTCCCTTCTTGTGCTTCCTACTCCAGCCAGACTGAACCTCCTTGATCATTCCACTGACCTCCGGGAGGGACACTGCCACTCCTTGAGTGACCCAGTACCTGTCCTTGGGGAGTTCACCGTCTACAGAATACAGACTGTTTCATTTCTGGGTTTTTGTTCTTGGGGCTTCCCCGGGTCTGGAATGCTTTTCTCCCTCATCCCTTGTCCTGCACCAAATCCCATGTGCATCTTGAGGGTCTTCTCAAGTGCCAGCTGCTCTGTGATTTTTAGGGTCCTGGTCTCAATAACCTCTCTCTCTCTGATCTCCCACCGCACTAATACCTGCTCTTGTAGCACTTCCTGGGGGTGGCCTTTTGCACATTTGGGAATTTACCCATTCCATTTTACTTGATTGTGGTGGGGCTTCAGTTTATATTTAGAAATATATCAGTCTCTCATGTCCTGGCCAGGTGACTCGGTTGTCCTGTACACCAACAAGTTTCAGGTTTGATTCCTGGTCAGGGCACATGCCTAGGTTGTGGGTTTGATCCCTGATAGGGCTACGAGCGGGTGGCAACCAATCAATGTTTCTCTCTCTCTCTAATCAGTAAATATGTATCCTCAGGTAAAGATGAAAAGATATGTATATACACACACCAATCTCTCGTATCTAGTGCAGTTACTTACACACAGTTTGTGCTCACTAATTCTCAAATTGAGCTGAAGGAGAAGCAGGGAAGCAAAATTCTTCATGCTTGAGGGGCAGGGGCTCTCTGGGCCAGTGAGGCCGGAGAGGCCAGGCGGCCGTGGCCCTGAGGACACGAGGCAGAGCACTGGCCTTGGAATCAGAAAACGTGGCGCTGTCTCCTTTACTTACTCGCTTTATGAACTTGGGCAAATGATTAACCTTTTAAAGGCTTGGCTTATTTATATGTAAAATGGCACAGTCATTCACGGTTGTTGCTAATTGAGATGATGTTCGTGAGCATATTTTATGAACCATGAACCTCTATGTGAGGTAGGCACTGGGGCTGCGAGTGCTGTCGTAGGGTCTGTCTGCTGGACTGGAGGGCCACCAACCCTCTGAAGTCCACCTTTTCAGCTTTGTTTTATTGTATTTCTAGTCTCACCCCCTGTAGAAATTCATGGTTAAACTTACTCAGAAGATTGTGGGGTTGAGTCTCTATGCACCCCCCTCGAGGATGAGGCTGCGTGCTCTTCATCGTTGCTGTCCGCCCCTGGCGAAGTCCCTGGCTTTGTGAATGTGTTTGGTGGAACACATGACAGGCTTCCTTTGGCTTTAGCACAGCAGCCCTGAAAGTCCCGGGCCCATGGCCGTGGGCGACCTTAAAGCCTGCTTTGTGTCCCATCCTTACCCCTTAATGTTTTTCAGAGAAATGTTTCTGAAGAGGCCAGACAACATCCGAGAATTCGCAGCAGGTCAGTAGATCAGTGTCCTTTGCAGGTGTTTGGTCAACCAGCACAAGGAGCATTATTGTGAAACTAGCCTTGGACAAGCCGGTGTTCTCCTCATGGTCTGGGGTATGTCTTCACCCTGTGTCTCCCAAGGGGGCTTTCTCTAGAAGGCTTTTTTTGTCCATTGTCATTTCCTCAGAACAAGGACAGGTAAGAAATGAGGCAGAACTTCCTCATAGTGAGGGTTAAGAATTCTGAGTTTCCCCAGCCTCTTCCCCTGGGAATCTGAAAGCAGGTCCTCCTCCCTGGATACACATCAGAATCCCCTGGGGAGCTTTTAAAATACTGGGGCCCAGGCCCACCCCCAGAGGTTTTTATTTAATTAGTCTGGGGCAGGGTTTTGCCCCTACAGTTTTAAAGGCTCCCTGGGTGACTCTGATGGGCTCCACTGCCCAGAGATGGCTTAAGGTCAGTGGTGTCTAGAGGGGGGGAAGAGGGGCTGGATGATTTTCTGGGTCCTGTCAGCCCTGGGAGTTGGTTACGTCCTCAAACCATTTCCAACTGAATCTAAGTGCGTCTCTGCTGCCACAGCAGATGCTGTCTCTGATTTACATTATGCCGGGTGTTTAAAAACCCTCTTCTGTCGTCATTCTCCGAGAGCCTGGCTCTCCTCTGAGAGGATATTTTCAGGGAGGGCGTGATATCTCAGAGACAAAAGTTGGCAAGCCGAGTTGAGATGAGAATAACACTTGGCATTTATTTGGGTCCCAAGATGGGCTGGGAGCAGAAAACCCAGAGGCTCCCTCAGCCCTCTGATGGCTCCCTGTGCGTCAGCAAACTGTGGGGCGCCAGTGTGGAGGGGCGGGAGCCCTCCTGTGTACGCTCTTCTCTGGCACGCACGCTGGAGCTGGCAGGCTCGGGCTGCTGGGGGAGGGAACTAGGGGGGGGCAGTGATCACAGGATTCGCTGTGACATCTCGTATTAGGTAGTAAAGTGGGGCCACCAGTAACATTTCTGCAAAGACCGAGCCAACCTAACTTTTTAGCAGAGTACAGGTCTCCCCGGCACCCCCGTCATCTTTGTCCTTTAGGTTTAGATGATTTCTTCGTTTTGGTTCTTATCCCAGAGTACTTCACGGATCCAAGACTTCCCTACAAGATTCACATGCAGCTAATTAAGAAGAAAGAAGCTTAATTAGCAAAATCATGATGCTCTGCTGTTGAAAGAGACCAGAAAGCATCCAGCCTGGGGTGGGTGTTGACCTCACTTGGAGACAAGCACTCCTTTACTCCTGCTTCTGGGCCCCGGGTGTGAAAGAAAGCAAAGAGAAGAGTTCATGCAAGTGTTGAGTTTTCCTGACACCATTTTGGGGACTAGGGACTGGGAAAAGAGGCCCAGGGTTAGCGTGTCTGTGGCAGGAAGAGACATTTGTCTTCTTAATCCGAAGAAATGGATGAAGAGAATGGAAGTGGGAGTAGTTGGGGGTAAAGAGAGTGGCAGGGAGATTGGGGTGGGGCCTGCTAGTGTCAAGACCTTGCTGTCAGGCTGCTCCTGCCCACTGGGCTGAGGGCCGAGGGGGGCTTCTGGAAAGGTGAGAGTGCTTTCCCTCCCCGCCTCTTGGATTGGGCACTTCCTGCCCCTCCCCTCGAACCAGGCTAGGCCATTGGGGCCATCATCACACATTTTACAGGCAGGATGGTTTCTGAAATGGTTTTGATGGCTGGGATTTTTTTTTCTCTTTTTAATGTGAGGTGGGAAAAAGCCACAATCCTGATTTAGCGGAACCATTTCTGTTTTGCAGGTTCATCTGGACGTGAGAGAGTCCTGTTGTTACCAGTGTGGGTTTTCAAGCTGCCTTGGGCTCTGTCTCCTTTGCAAAGGCTTTTGAAGATACTCATTAAAAACCGATCTTCCTGATCTCTCTGCTTTATTTCACTCAGAAGGAGAAAGACAGCCCTCCTGGGGAGGCTGCCCTGCCGCTGTCGACCTGGTAGGCGGTGGCCTGTCCCTCTCAGTGGCAGCTTGCGGGCCACTCAGGTCAGGTGGGTGTTTCCACGTGGGCCTCAAGACATGTCCTCCCCACCTCTCAGGCCAGCTAATGCAGAGCCAAGACTGGAAGAAAGACAGGGGTGGGGGTCCTGAGGACCACAGCTGGCCGTGGGGTACTGAAACCAAGTCCGGCCTTCAGCTGTGGCTTTTGATTTTTCCTTATCTTATGTTCTGTGTATACAGGTGATTAACTTTTATTAAGATAGAAATAATAAGAGGAATTGGGCTGGAAGGACAGCAAAAGAGAATGAGGTTGGACATAGAAAACTATTCAGGATCAATCAATACAGTGAAGTATGAGCCTAACGGGTGACTCAGAGAGGTGGTAGGCTTCGTTCTTGAGGATTTTTGGAAACAAGCCACCCGTCCATTTGGTTTTCAGCTAAGAGGCATGGGAATGAACCAGTTGATCTTAGGAAGTCCTTTTCAGGCCAGGAGGCATGGATGGTGCCTGTTTATGTCTTGCTTGGCCTCCACCAGCCACTGGCTCCACTGTATGAAGGACCTGTCATCCGTGTGTCACGTGTCAACATCACCATGGCAACAGAAGCACAGCCAGAAGCAGAGACTGTATTTACCTTATCGCTGTTTTGTTCTCAGCTACAATAGTAGAAAGGGCAACAAATTAGGGCATTTAGAGAACTAAAAACTACACATAATAAGCTTTGGAGTACAAACCTTGAGGCATTATTTTAAGTGCTTTTTGAATCACACATCAGTAGCTATGGCTGTCTTTCAAAAATCCTAACCAAGTCTTCAGCAAAAAACATCCACTGAGGGCCTCTGATGGAAGTGTTATAGTAGATGACACTCTTGGAACCTTTCTTGGGAGAAGCAGCCTGTACCAGTGTGGGGAGAGAGCAAAGTGTTTTTCAAGATGTTTGCAGGATTTAATACTGTGAGTACAATGGCTCATGATTTGGGGGCAGGGATTTCTGGTAGGCAGAATGAAATATATGTCATCACCTGGCTGCTGTAGCTTGGTGGATTGAGCGCAGGCCTGCAAAACAAAGGGTCGCTGATTTGATTCCCAGTCAGGGCACATGCCAGGGGTGCAGACCAGGTCCCCAGTCCAGGGCACGTGAGAGGCAACCAACCACACACTGACATTTCTTTCCATCTCTTTCTCCTTCCCTTCCCTTCTCTCTGAAAATCAATCAATAAAAAATTTTTTTAAAAGATTTCATTTATTTACTTTTAGAGAGGGGAAGGAAGGTGGGAGAATGAGAGGGAGAGAAACATCAATGTGTGGTTGCTTCTCAAGCACCCCCTACTGGGGACCTGGCCTGCAACCCAGGCATGTGCCCTGACTGAATCCAACTGGTGACCCTTTGGTTCGCAGGCCTGCACTGAATCCACTGAGCCACACCGGCCAGGGCAATAAATGAAATCTTTAAAAATACATCTATTTCATCATATGTGGAATCTAATGAACAAACCGAACTAAAGGAAAACAGAGACAGGCTCATAGATGGAGAGCAGGGTGACAGCCAGTAGGAGGGGGGAGATGAGGGGGTAGAGGGATGGAGCAAAAGGGAGAAAGGACTCGACATGGATGTCAATGTGGTGGTTGCTGGGGGGAGGGTATTAGGGGACTAAAGGGTGATGGGAAAAATATAATAAAGATTAAATTAAAAAATAAAATATATTTCGCCCTGGCTGGTGTAGCTCAGTGGATTGAGCGCGGGCCTGTGAACCAGGGTATCACGGTTCGATTCCCAGGGTACATGCCTGGGTTGCAGGCCAGTTCCCAGCAGGGGACACGTAAGAGGCAACCATACATCGATATTTCTCTCCCTATCTCCTTCCCTTCCCCTCTAAAGATAAATAAATAAAATCTTTTAAAAAATATTTCAAAGACTTCCCAAGTAAGGAGCGCATTTCACAGTAGTCATCATGTATCTGCTTTGTGTGAGGCGCTGTGCTAGGTTCTGGGAGTGAGGCAGGTCCACGCAGTGGTTTATGGTCTGGGAGGGGGGCTGCTTCTCTCCCTAAACCTTAACTGTCTACATATCTCACCTTTTAGACTGAAAGCTCCATCAGGGCAGGGACCAAATTCAAAAATCAAAATTGGTCACAATTAAATTCCTGACTCCTAGCACAGTGTCTAGAATGTAGCAAACTCTCAGTAAGCATTTGTGGAGAAAAGGAATACTCGTGTAATTGAGCACTCACATTTTATTGCTTTGAAGACAATTATATACCTGTGATGGAAGTAGATACATAATATAGGAAAAGATAGAAGAAAGACCACCAGGTGTGCCTGAAGGAGTAAGGGAAGGCTCATGGAAACTGGCACGTGATGGGGAAGAAAGGGTTTGCCAGGCAGATAACAGGGGGAGGTATGGGGCAGTCAGGGTACCCCAGTGCTTCCCTTCTGCTGAGCAGGACGGTAGACCCTGTTTGTTGCCTGCTCATCTTCATTACCCCTTTCTTCCTTGCTAATAATAGAACACCAATTTTGCTGAGGACAGCAGTGGGCCCTGTCCCAAGTGGTGGATTGTATTTAAGCCAATCACAGCATCACATTCCCCAGTTGCCCAGCTTCCCTTGCAGCTAGAGGAAGCCATATGTCCATGAATTAGCCACTGGTAAGTGTGCTGGAGGTTCCTAGGAAAGCTTTTGCTTTTGTAACAAAAGTATAAAAAGGGGTTGTAACAGATTAAGCCCATGTAACCCTCCCTTTTCTTTCTCCCTGACTTGAACCTGAGTGTGATGTTGAACTGAGCAGTCATCTTAAGGCCATGAAACAATGAGCAGGAGGGTGATAGATATCCAGTCCTTTGAAGTGGCAGAGAGGCAAGATCAGAAGGCTCTGAGACCCTGACAGCATCTTTGAGCACCTGAACAGCCCAGCAGTCACCTGCCTTTAGACTTCTTGGCAAGTAAGGAAAATAAAGCTCTAATTTGTTTTGAAATCAGATCAGAGTTTAAATTCTGACCTACCACTTACTAGCTAGATGTGTGGTCTTGGCCAAGCCACTAAGCTTCCTTGAGCATTGAGTTGGATTAGGGATAGAGAATGGATGGGGTAGGCCCCATCCATGTGGGAGTGTTCACTAGGGGTGGTCCTACGGGGGAGGTGTAAAATGCAAAGGTGAGTGTAGTGGGAGACAAAAAAGTGGGGACAAATCACAAAGGGCACTGTATATTAAGCAAACGAGTTTTGTTTTTCATCATGTAGTCAATGGAGAGCCAGCAAGGAATTATGAGCCAAGGGGGATGGATGAAGAGATTCATATTTACAAAGTGTCATACTGTGGAAGACAAGTTAGAGAAAACTGAGGCTAAAATAGAAAGTCCTGTTCAAAGACAATTGCTGTAGTCCAGGCCACCATCATTTCTACCTACATCACTTCACTCATTTTTGTTGGTCTCTTTGCTGACTCTTGTGCCCACTATGTAAGTTGAGAATGTGTGTAGCTGCAGGTAACAGAAATCCCAGTTTATACTGCCTTATGCAAATAGGGGGCTATTTTTCTCACCTGATGAAAGCTCTGGCAGTGAGCGAGATTCAGATGTGTAATGTAGACTGGTACCCAGACCAGCCTTCCACCTTTTCACTGCCAGCCTGTGTGGCCTCCCAGTTCTGGGAGGGCCCCTGCACGCCCAGGGCCATTTCGGTCCTCCCCGGGGGAAGAAGGAAGAAGAGCCACACCAGCCGAGTCTGTCCCCTTTTATCAGGAAAGAAAAGTTTTCTGAAAATCCTCCCTACCTATGTCTCGCAGGGTCCTATGGTTCACCCCAAGTGCAACTGAGACCAGGGAAGGGAATTTTTAACTCTTCCAGCTTTTAGAGCAAAAGGTGGGAAGAGAAAAGAAGAGTAGGAACAGCTAAGTCAGCCCCAAAGCAGTGTCTGCCCACCTGCATCCTTGACTCATTCTCCACGTTAGAGTTAGAGCCAGAACGATGTTTTAAGAAACCTTAAATCAGAGTGTGTCACTCTTCTGCTCAACCCTTCAGCAGCCTGTCATCTGCTTAGAATAAAACCTAGACGACTTCCCAGGGGCTACAAAGTTCTGTGAGACCTCCTCCACCTCTCTGACTTTATCTGTCTCCCCCCACCCCATGCTCCGGCCACACCCATCTTTTCTGTCTTCCCCAAAACATGCTGAAGGCATTTCCCCCTTTAGGGTCTTTGAGCTCTTCCTGGATTTCTCTTCCCCGATCTTCACAGGGCTGGCAGTCCGAGTTGGGGTGCTCTACACGGAAAGGAAGAGAAAACTCTGCTAAGAGTAAAACTTTGTTAAGCAAGTCGGGCTTGCTTACCTCACACCGCAAGTGTGGAGGGTGGTGGCTTCTGGTGTGGGTTCAGCACCTGCCTCTCTTCAGTTTCCTCTCTTTCCTTTATGGTCAGGGAGAGGCAGGAGAACCAGAAAGCCACTGCCCATTCTTGTTCTTTTCTGGAAAGCTAAAGCTTCCCTCTCCCAACTCGACAACTTTCACTAACATCTCATTGGCCAGAGCTGTGTACAAGGCTCCTCCTTAAGGGAGGCTGGGAAATTGAGTAGTTAACTAACCAACAGTATCCTAGGTAGCTTCCCGTCATTTTCTTAGAGAGTCTTTTCCTAGGGACTCAGCTGAAGTAACTGCCCCCAGACATTTAAAAATATTTAATTAAACTCTCCCCACCATCCTCTATCATATCAGTGTTTTGTTTTGCCCAACAGTGTCCGATATTGTCGTGTTTATTTTCTCATCATTACCTGTAGCTCCAAGAATGTGAGCTCCGGTGAAAGCAGGTCTCATCAGGCTTGTTCATTGCTCCCAGGCCGGCGTGCAGTAGGGACCGCCTGATTCTGCTCAAGGAGGGGAAGGATGGGCAGCATCTGGAAAGCAAGGCGCTCTCCTCCTAACTGGGCAGGCCT